CCCTGCTGGAGTGCCTGTAATGCTAGACATGGTTAGCAAATCACTGCCAGAGTCAGGATAGAACCCACAAGTCCGGATTCCCAATTCTCCAACTCTAACCACTTGCCCATGCTCCTTCCCAGAGGCAGGAACAGAAGTCACTCCCTCGTTCTAAGCACCAGGAGATGGGTTCTCAGCCTTAGGTTCACAACCTTCCTCCCTTCTTTTATGACTGCACAGGAGGAGGATCCCAAAACTTTCTTCTGCCATAACATGGGGTCCTGGAAAAAGCGGGGAACCAGTGGACTAGAACACTCCTCTCCCCGAGTCAGGCACAGACCCCAGGAGTGCTGACCCTCACTCCACTGCTCTGCCCACAAGACAAAGTGGTTGGCTGGTTTATTTAAACAGGGAATGGGAAAGGAAGTCCCTTCCCGTTTTAGTCTTTCCCCACCATCCTTCCCCTCTATCTCTACCTCTCTTGTGCTCATTTTTCATCGATTCCCATTTCTCTTGCTTGCTCTGCCCAGCTCTACCGCATTTGCAGCATGACTAGGGCATTAAGAGACAGCATCTCAGACTATTTAGTGGCGCGTTACAGGGGCCATGAAAACACTCAGACTGCATATCATAGCATCTAAACCCCCCGGAGCATCCTTTAAAAAAAAAAAAAGCACCCCACCATCTAATCCTACAAAAGAAAATATACATGAAAACCTCTTAGCACTAGGAAACAACACTTGAGCTTTCAGATGCATGCAACCCTCCCATCTCCACTTCCAGACTGGCCGTTGGAAGTTTAATTAACAGCTTCTGCAGTCAATTTCTCAATATTCCTATGGCTAGATTGCTCAGATCATTTGGGCCATTAGCAAAAGCAGCTGCCACCTGCCAAAACCCAACCCCCACATGTAGTTTAACAGAAAATCATTCTGCCTTGAAGTCTATACCCAAGACGGGAGATTTATATAAAATATAGATTCTTTTTTAAAACCATCACAGCCTGACTACACAAAAAGAATCAATTTCCTACCCTTCACCCCCCCCCAAAAAAAGTTGAACCTTAACTATCTCAAGCTATTAAAGGTAAATCTTCCCTCCTTGCCCTTTTCACTGATTATACAGTTCTGACTTAAAACCAGGAAGAAATGCGCCTTGCTATATATGTACAAACCATGCCCTAGGGTGTGGCTCCAATTAGGGCCTGTTTCTTGCAGCACAGGGCACTACGGTACCTCTACAATGAAGCTAGGAGACAGTCTCCCAGCTCGAGCTAGTGCACTAAAACCAGCAGTGTGAACAATGGAGCATGGCCTCCCAAGCTTGGACCCAGGGGATGGGATGGGCTTGGATTTGGGCAGCTAGCCAGAGTGGAGCTAGCTCGTGTCCGTCTACCCAGGCCGGGAGGCACAGCTGCAGTGTAGACAAACCCAGAGGCAACACACAGGAGTCCCCTGCCGGCTCCTGAGCAGGGTTGAGAGTCGGTAAGATTAATTTTCTGTGCTTGGAAAATGCTGTGCTTTTGACTCTGTTCAAGAACCACTAGGAAGAGTCAATGCTGCTCCGTCATCCGCTGCCTCGCCTTTCCCAGTGAAACAGTAAAAACGACCTTTCAAGCTATTGCCTTTGGATTGCTTTCCAAACATTAATTATGAAGCCCCAGAACACCCCTAAGTTGGTGGTGTTATCCCCGTTTGACAGACGGGGATACCGAAGCACAGAGAGATTACGAATATTGCCCAGCATTACACAGCAAATTGGCAGCAGAGGCATGAAAAGAACATAAGGCGTTCACGGCTATATCACACTAGTTGGTATAACTTATGTCATACAGGGGTCTGAGTAGCCACCCCCCCCTTAGTGACATAAATTACACCGACCTAAGCACCAGTGTGGACAGCGCTATGCCAGCGGGAGAGCTTCTCCCAGCAACGTAGCTACCACCGCACACAGGGGCTGGAGTAATTAAGTTGAGGGGAGCGCTCTCCCGAGAATCTGCATGAGCAGCACACGATGCCCATGGCTCAAGTGAGTAGACCCACCCCACTCCCCTCCCAGAATCAGGAATTGAACCCAGCAGGAGCCCTGGCTCTAACCACTAAACCTCGACAGTGACTGGCAGCGGCAGGCTAAGTGTGCTCAGCTGCAGAAGGAGCAGGTGCTGATTCCATCGCTCTGATGCTCAGTGTGGTGAGGGAATGCCCGGGTCGCCTGGTTTAGCCTCTCCTGGCCAGCGGGATCACTCCCAAGCACGGCCTTTGAGCGAGAAAAGGGACAGACCGAAGGACCCTGCCCCAGTGAAATGGCCGCCCCTGGTGGACACTAGCAGAACCAAAAGGAAGACATCTACCTTAAAAAGCTACAAGGAGCTGTCAGGAACCATCCGGTGGAGTCTTAGCAGCAGGTCAAGACTAAGGATCATGGATAGGAGAGTTGTATGGGGAGGTCCCAATCAGGATTGAGGGGCATCATCAGAGCTGTGTGTGTGGAGAGCCCAGGACTGTGACTTGAAATCGAGGGGCATTGGCAAAGCTGTGCGTGTAGGGAAAGCCCAGGACTGGAACTATAGGAAAGTTGCAGGTTGGGATTGAGGGGTATTTGCAAAGCTTGGCGGGGAGGTGAAGAAAGAGCCCAGGACTGGATATAGCAAGGGCAGGGCTGCGGGTTGGGATTGAGGGGTATGGGCAAAGCATTGTGGAAGTGGGGGAAGCCTAGCAGTGGAACAGCAAGGGCAGGGCTCCAAACCAGGTGCTTCAGCAAAGCTGTCCGCAGAGAAGCTGCTCATGTGCCCCCCACCAGCCTCAGGTCTGCTCCAAATCAGCGCTACGAGCCCTGCCTTTCCAATCGCTAAATTAGCCCACACATGTCAGAGAAATAAGACAGGACTGGCGCTGTTCTGGGATCTATCCCGCCTCCCTTCCTCTGGTGGATTTGCATCTCTTTTTGGGGCAGCTCCTGTTTCCAACACAGAAAGGGCCCTCTGTTCAGGTCCTTTTTTCCCCTTTCCCAGCAATTGTTATGTTAAAATCCCCAGGACGCATTTCTGCAAAGAATTAAAAGAGGGTGAGGAAGAGATTGTTTTCCGTGGTGTCTCGCTAAGTCTCTGACCTTGAGCATGTATAGAAAACAAGAAAAAAGGGACTTTATGCTAATATCACTTGCTAAGCACAAGGGGAAAAAATAATCATCCCAAACGAAGATTATGAATGCAAATCAACTCACTAAAGCAATGTGGTCTGAGCAGCAGTCTTGCTTTGCTGTTCCAAAATATTCTTGCATTGCCTGGCTCTGCTGTACCCTAAGTCTAATAATTACAAGTTCTATCCAGACAGCAAAAGGATAAGTAAGTTTTAATTTTCTAATTATGACATTGTTTGTTTCCCCCTCCTCATGTTTGATCCTTTAAAGAAGCAACATGGTGCAGCAGATGGAACCCCCTGACGAGGAGTCAGGAAACCTGGTTTCTTCACTATTTCATAAGATTTATAGGGTGAAATCCCAGCCCCATTTGACATCCGTAGAGCAGGATTTCACCCGTAGAGTTCAAAGCCAGAAAGGCCCATTATGATCATCTAGTTTCACCCCACAGGGATTGTCAGCTCTTCAGGGCAGGAACTGTCTTTTATTCTGAGTTTGTACAGCACCTAGCACCGTGGCAGCCTGGTCCCTGACACACTAATACAAATAAAAAATATTAGTAATTCATAGAATCATAGAATATCAGGGTTGGAAGGGACCCCAGAAGGTCATCTAGTCCAACCCCCTGCTCAAAGCAGGACCAATTCCCAGTTAAATCATCCCAGCCAGGGCTTTGTCAAGCCTGACCTTAAAAACCTCTAAGGAAGGAGATTCTACCACCTCCCTAGGTAACGCACGAACGCAGGAATTCCACGAAGTGATTCCTGCATCTCTTATAAAAAGCTATCCAGTCTTGATTTAGAGGCTTTTAGTGACAAAGAATCTACCCCATCCCTTGGTAAGTTGTTCCAAAGGTTACTGATCCTGTTTAAAAGTTGAGCCTTATTTTTGGTCTGAACTTGTCTAGCTTCAATTTCCAGCCACTTAGCAATGTTATGTCATTATACACTGGACCAAAGAACCCTTTACTATCAGAAATCATCTCACGTAGATATAGACCATGATCGAGTCACCCCTTGAACTTTCAAGAGAGGAAGTGCCTTGCCAAAGTCATGTGGCAGGTCAATGAAAGTGCCTACTGGAGTCCCATTGTTCTGGGTGCTGTATGCACCCACAGTGAGAGAGTCTCTGCTCTGAAGAGCTTACAAAATAGACAAAACGTGTGAGGGAAAACAGGCACAAAGGGTACATCTACACAGCAAGAGAAACCCTGCAGCCGCAAGTCTCAGAACCTGGGTCAGCTGACTCAGGTTGATGGGGTTCACGCTACAGAGCTAAAAATAGCAGCAGAGACATTCCCGCTCAGGCTCTGAAACCCAGCAAGGGAGGAGGGTCTCCGGCATGAGTGGGAACATCAACACTGCTATTTTTAGTACCCACAGCACAAGCGGCAGGAGCCCAAGTCAGTTGACCCAGGCTCTGAGACTCGCTGCCACTGAGTTTCTTTTGCAGTGTAGACGTACCCTTTGTGCCTGTTTTCCCTCACACGTTTTGTCTATCTTGTAAGCTCTTCAGAGCAGAGACTCTCTCACTGTGGGTGCGTACAGCACCCAGAACAATGGGAGTCCAGGAGGCACTTTCATAATACAAATAAATAATTTAAAACCCAAATCCACCCCCCACCGGCGCTGGAGTAGCCCCAGAGCCCAGTCAAACCAGACTCATCCCTGCTTAGTTCACCAGCAGCTCTGAAAACGTCTGCTGGTTTAGTTTTGAGCACGTGTTCGTTTAAATGAAGGGGAGCTGCAATGGGGCTGTTTGGTAGCATGGCACTTTGGGGTCTCTCTGTGTTGTTTTCATAGACCCAATTCTTTGGACGATCCAAAATCCACACACCCCACGGCTAAAGTGCTCCCAAGAAAGCTGCATTTTCATATAGGTACCTTTCTCGTAACACGTCGAGCTGGTCTTCGGTGTTAGCAATAAATCTGCCGTTGAACTGGGAGACCGCCACGGACCACCCGGCGGCTGCAGCAGGAAAAGGTGATGGCGGCTCAGCAGGTGGTGCCGTGCCCTCCACGTTCCAGCTGCCCCAGCCCCCACCACAGTGCATTTAGGGGCAGCGGGGCTGTGCTCTGGGAGACAGGGCACAATGCTCCAGTCATTCAGCACGGTCACCTGGATTTAAAACCAACAGCATTAAACTGGCCCAAGAGGGGAATTGGGCCCCAGTGACATTTAAAACTGAGGCCCTGCTCACTGGAGCTGCCCACTGGGCTCAGGTGGTGCCCATGTGGTCTGTTTTCAGGGTTAATTAATGCAATCCAGGGCCCTAGGCACACCCCTCTGCCTCCCATCCCTGCCTGGGCCCCTCGCTCTTTGGGGCAGCAGCATATTGCAAAGTACAAATAAATGGGGCAGTTCACACTTATTGGAGCCATCCCTCTAGGCTGTCTGCAAACTCATGTGCCAGCAATGCCCCTCTGCCATGTACATTGGTCAAACTGGACAGTCTCTACGTAAAAGAATAAATGGACACAAATCAGATGTCAAGAATTATAACATTCATAAACCAGTCGGAGAACACTTCAATCTCTCTGGTCACGCAATCACAGACATGAAGGTCGCTATCTTAAAACAAAAAAAACTTCAAATCCAGACTCCAGCGAGAAACTGCTGAATTGGAATTCATTTGCAAATTGGATACTATTAATTTAGGCTTAAATAGAGACTGGGAGTGGCTAAGTCATTATGCAAGGTAGCCTATTTCCCCTTGTTTTTTCCTACCCCCCCCCCCGATGTTCTGGTTTAACTTGGATTTAAACTTGGAGAGTGGTCAGTTTGGATGAGCTATTACCAGCAGGAGAGTGAGTTTGTGTGTGTATGGGGGTGGGGTGTGTGTGAGAAAACCTGGATTTGTGCTGGAAATGGCCCACCTTGATTATCATGCACATTGTAGGGAGAGTGGTCACTTTGGATGAGCTTCAGAGGAACAGCCGTGTTAGTCTGTATTCGCAAAAAGAAAAGGAGTACTTAGCTATTACCAGCAGGATAGTGAGTTTGTGTGTGTGGTTTTTGGGAGGGGGGTGAGGAGGTGAGAGAACCTGGATTTGTGCAGGAAATGGCCCAACTTGATTATCATGCACATTGTGTAAAGAGAAAAGGAGTACTTGTGGCACCTTAGAGACTAACCAATTTATTTGAGCATGAGCTTTCGTGAGCTACAGCTCACTTCATCAGATGTATGATCACAACATCTGATGAAGTGAGCTGTAGCTCACGAAAGCTCATGCTCAAATAAATTGGTTAGTCTCTAAGGTGCCACAAGTACTCCTTTTCTTTTTGCGAATACAGACTAACACGGCTGTTCCTCTGAAACCTGTCATTGTGTAAAGAGTTGTCACTTTGGATGGGCTATCACCAGCAGGAGAGTGAATTTGTGTGGGGGGGTGGAGGGTGAGAAAACCTGGATTTGTGCTGGAAATGGCCCACCTTGATTATCATGCACATTGTAGGGAGAGTTTCAGAGGAACAGCCGTGTTAGTCTGTATTCGCAAAAAGAAAAGGAGTACTTGTGGCACCTTAGAGACTAACCAATTTATTTGAGCATGAGCTTTCGTGAGCTACAGCTCACTTCATCAGATGTTGTGATCATACGTCTGCTGAAGTGAGCTGTAGCTCACGAAAGCTCATGCTCAAATAAATTGGTTAGTCTCTAAGGTGCCACAAGTACTCCTTTTCTTTTTGTAGGGAGAGTGGTCACTTTGGATGAGCTATTACCAGCAGGATAGTGAGTTTGTGTGTGTGGTTTTTGGGAGGGGGGTGAGGGGGTGAGAGAACCTGGATTTGTGCAGGAAATGGCCCAACTTGATTATCATGCACATTGTGTAAAGAGTTGTCACTTTGGATGAGCTATCACCAGCAGGAGAGTGAATTTGTGTGGGGGGGGTGGAGGGTGAGAAAACCTGGATTTGTGCTGGAAATGGCCCAACCTGATGATCACTTTAGATAAGCTATCACCAGCAGGACAGTGGGGTGGGAGGAGGTATTGTTTCATATTCTCTGTGTGTATATAAAGTCTGCTGCAGTTTCCACGGTATGCATCCGATGAAGTGAGCTGTAGCTCACGAAAGCTCATGCTCAAATAAATTGGTTAGTCTCTAAGGTGCCACAAGTACTCCTTTTCTTTTTGCGAATACAGACTAACACGGCTGTTACTCTGAAACCAGACAGGCACCAAGGTATCCTCGGGTCAAGTTTTTAAGCTTTGCTTAATTTTGCATCCATGAGGGCTAGAGAACTTTTTTTTTAAATTTACTCTGTAATGAAAGCTAAGATCCTGCAATGATCATGTGGCCCCAGGGAGCTTTGGGGTCCAGGGGGAGCCATGGGCTGAGAGCGCCTTAATTCAGCTCTGAGTCTGCTTCTGTCCCTTGACACTGCTGTCAAATACTTTGGGTGGCTTCACACAGCACAAACCAACGCTGCTATTATCTTCATCTTCCCATCCTCCCTACACAACACACACAAGAGAGTTTAGGCTGGGAACGCAGCTCTTTAATCTCCAACAAGCCTTTGACAACCTGTCTCTTCCTGGCTTTTAGCTGTGTGAGAGCTGCTCACTAATGGAGCATTAACCTTGGAGAGCTTCTGCAATTACTCCAACACTAATTCTGACAGTTTTTGGTGTATCTGTTTGTTCTTTTGACAGTCAAAAGGAATTTCTTTTTAAAAGCTGTTTGATACATTTGAGATCTTCTGTCCATAGTTTCTTTTTTTGCTGGAGATTTGGAGATGGGGGAGTTGGGGGGAGAGTTGAAGGCAATGCGTTATGAGATACAGACAGACACAATCTTCTTATAGATAGATCTGTTTGGGCAGAAGTCAAGATATTCTTTCCCCCTCCTCTTTTAAGTGACAGAAGCATTTGGTCTCTCCTGACCTCATTAGGGTAATTAGTAAACCTTTTGAAGCTGGGAGAATGGCAGTGGGAAAGTGAGGAGAGCAGAGTGCTTTTAAAAACAGTGTGTATGCATGGGGGGGGGGGAAGGGGTGAAAAATCATCTCCAATTGTAAAAAGAAAAGGAGGACTTGTGGCACCTTAGAGACTAACCAATTTATTTGAGCATGAGCTTTCGTGAGCTACAGCTCACTTCATCGGATGCATACCGTGGAAACTGCAGCAGACTTTATATACACACAGAGAATATGAAACAATACCTCCTCCCACCCCACTGTCCTGCTGGTAATAGCTTATCTAAAGTGATCATCAGGTTGGGCCATTTCCAGCACAAATCCAGGTTTTCTCACCCTCCACCCCCCCACACAAATTCACTCTCCTGCTGGTGATAGCCCATCCAAAGTGACAACTCTTTGCAGGAGAGTGAATTTGTGGGGGGGGTGGAGGGTGAGAAAACCTGGATTTGTGCTGGAAATGGCCCAACCTGATGATCACTTTAGATAAGCTATTACCAGCAGGACAGTGGGGTGGGAGGAGGTATTGTTTCATATTCTCTGTGTGTATATAAAGTCTGCTGCAGTTTCCACGGTATGCATCCGATGAAGTGAGCTGTAGCTCACGAAAGCTCATACTCAAATAAATTGGTTAGTCTCTAAGGTGCCACAAGTACTCCTTTTCTTTTTGCGAATACAGACTAACACGGCTGTTACTCTGAAACATCTCCAATTGTGTTAACGGTGACCTGCAAAGATGGGGGAGTGAGGAATATGCTAGTGCTTTCTTTGTCCCCTGCTCTGTGATATGAAGTTGGCCTGAATCTGTCCCCAGACTACCCCTCAAAAAGAGGATTTTACATTAGAAAGTCGGGTGTTGGCTTCTCTGGAAGACTCCGCGGGTGACTGGAGAACTGGAAAGAGGAAGAATGGCAAAGGCACTGTACTGGGACTCAAAAGATCTGGTTTCAATTCCCAGCTCTGCTGTTGCCTCCCTGCGGAGGCTAAGGCAAGTCACTTCATCCCTCTGTGCCACAGTTCCCCATCTATTGTAACAAAAGGATAATACTGCCTTTGTGAGCTCTTTGTAGTAGGGTCTGTCTCTCATGTCTGTACAGCGCCCAGCCCAACTGGGATTCAGTTTGAGCCGTTAGGTGCCGCCACAACATAACCCTAACCGAGAAAGGAAAGGATTTTATTCATAATCAGAACGGTCTTTACTGAAATTTATCTACCTCAAACACTTGGGAGGCAGGGAAGGAGGCTCTTAGTTAAGGATGAACCATTTCTGCCTCTTCTAAGAACAGCTGAGAGAGCTCCGAAAGCACTTAAGTCAGCTAAGAAGCAATCCACCAATAAAAGGGAACATGAGACTTGACAATCCTGACGTTTACGATGGGTGGGAGCCTAAAAACCCTCTGAGAAAAACTAACCTTTCCAGCCATCTGTATACATCACAAAGGGCAGGAACCCAACACACCTCAACCCTTTAAATAGGAAGTGTTGGGTGTAGAAGAGAAAAACTGGTCCGTCTGCCTTCTGCTATGAAGTGGGTTAACACAGTGACTCAAGTACCCTGTAAGAAAAGGTCCATGGGAGAAACTAGTACCTGGCATTTAAACTGATCGATCCCTGGTTCCTGCTGTAACTTCTACGTATCGTTCTTGACATTGATATGACAATGGTGCCCAAAGACCACCCCCAGGTCCTATTGTGCTATAGCAGACAGACAGTTCCTGCCTGTTGTGGGCACCACCATGTTAACATTTCCTCCCACTGGGAGTCCGCTGCTTCTTGTAATCTCTTGTAAACTTCATGCAGAAATGTTCCCAGTTAAGTTGAATCAGGAGTCGGTGTGAAGAAAGGGATCCCCACCCAAACCATTCTCCAGTTCTGTTTGCCAGATGAGATCAAGTCCAAAACTTCGGACAGAACTGTCACCTTGACCTTGCCGTTTATGTTGCCCTTCTCTGGTGAGTACATGGAGAGAAGCCAGGCTTATAGGCAGCGAAGATGAAACCTGACGAACAGCACCGCATGTGTGCATGACGTTCTGTGGCCGAGAAGGGAAAGACAAATTCTGATGGATGTCCTGGCACTGACAGTGACCTGATGTAGGAGAGCACTCACGGCCTGAAACCGCTCAAGGGGGAAGATATATTCTTACTGTAGTCGAGTCCAGTGTGACCCTATAAAATATATGACCCTCATGGGGGCCAATGTGGATTTTTTGTGATTGACACAGACAACTAGGGAAGGCAGAAAGGCTGAGAAGAACACTGGCTGCCCACTGTACCTCCCTGTAGGAACCGCCCATCAGAAGCCAGCTGAGGTAGGGGAAGACTGCAAATCCCTCTCTTCTCATCCAAGCTGCCACTACTGAAAAAGCCTTTGTACACATCCTGGGAGCTGTAGCTAGACCAAAGGAGAGGACTCCAAATTGGTAATGTTCTTGATCATAGAGGAACCTGAGGAATCTCTTATGGGCTCGGTGGTTGTCTATGTGAAAATGTGTCTCTTTCGTATGAAGAGCCACAAACCACGTGCTCTCCTCTAATGAAGGAATTATCTAGGTGATCATGCAAAATTTTGGTTTTCAGCTGTCTCAGATAGAGAATTGGCCTCCATCCCCTATTCTTCTCAGGGTTCAGGAATTAAGGGGGATAGAATCCCTTCGCTTGATGTTGAGGTGAAACCCTTTCTATGGCTCCCCTGACGTTTACCTCTTGTCATTGAATCTCCTCATGAGATTGGTCCCTGAACAGGAACCAGGAGGGGGGTTTGTGGGTCGGACGAACCAGAAACTCGATCAAATAGC